TGAACGTGATAGAAGCCCCAATCTTATTGTGTGCGTTGAGCAGGGCTAATGCAATTTGCGTGGCTCGTTTCGTAATGTGACCGTCCTCAGTGCACAGTCGCTACTCGCTGGTGACTTACACGCGGCCCTGATTAGTCGCGAAGGCCGTCCGCGGACCTTTAGTATTACATTACCTTTCGTTTGTTTAATACTTGCTGAAAAACATTGTGATTGAATATCTGTGTTGGGTGAATGTGTTAATATGTGTTGAAGTTTATAACGCAATGAGTATGGTTTTAAAAATTAAGGTTATTCGTGTATTGCAATCAAAGACTAGGAGGGATAAATTATGTCTAAATAGGTGAAAGTATGAAGTATGTTAAGAATTAAAATTCGTTGGAGCGTTGAAACGTGTTCTACACAATAATATTTTATCAGAAAGGTTATTTCCCTAAAATATTGCGAAAACTTTTAAAAGTATCTTTCTTCAAGTGTTTTGAAAAATCTTATGTCCTAGTATAACTATCGATTGTATGAGGTCAATAACTCTTACAAAATGCTTTCTGATCTTAGCTGGGTTCACAATGTGCACGTCTAAAGTGCAGCTCATTGCATTTCCCTGCTGCAGGCTAATGAAGATAACGCATGTTCCTGCACTTAAACTGAAACGCCTTTTCTAAAGCTCCTTTGTACCAAGTCTCGAGTAACGTTTTCGAGACTTGCAAAATACTTGCGTTCTGTTGTACAGCACAATAAGTAAAAATACAATACTTTTCTCATCTCCTGTTTCATTCTCCTGCTCCTGTTTGGTTATAAAAGCTAGGAAATGGATTTGTATGTCTCCTAGTGCATGGAATTGGTGTCTTAGCATGTAAACTTAATCTTGCTAATATTATAAATGCGAAAGTTTAGATGGATGGATGTTTGTATAGTTTGATGCCTTAACTGTTGAACGAATCTCAATGAAATTCGGCATAGATGTAGAGCCTAGTCTGGAACAACACATAGGCTACCTTTGTTTTTTGTAATTCCGCGCGGACGAAGTCACATGCAAAAATTACTAACTTTATATATAAAATTGGTAATAATTTTGTCCTGGAAAAATGTATCAAGTAACCTTAATCGTGACATTAATTTTGTGTGCCTGAGGTAATATTTGTTTGGCTACAATTTTACTATGTTTCGTTTAGTGCTTGTCATTAAATATCTTTATAACACATGTTATATGGTCTAAGGCTTTTTCGTACAGTTATTTATTAAATACGGTTTATTACAGCGGCCAGGGTCAAAAAACCACGCTTTATTTCGGGCTTAAATCGTCAATATGCATAATAACATTGACTAAAACTAAAAAAAAATACTTTACTTTGATAGATATTTTTAGTACCAAATAATATAAATTAATGTTTATCAAGTTTTTTTAAAAAAACATAAAACAAGGTGTAAATCGCAAAAATTGACGCTTAAGACAGTCTACGTAGGAGCAATCGATTTATGTGATCTTTAAAGAATCAATAGGAAGGTATCAATTTTATTGAATACGTAGGTGAATTCAGTATCATGCCAGGTGTATTGATAAAGATAGGCATATTATAATTAGTGTGGCGATAAACATAATTTAATTAGAGCGAGCTAAGCAGACGCGCAAACGTCACGCCTCTAAAATGCAATTTTCGAAATGTTTACTCTAGCAATTAATAGGGTTGTCACTACACTAATTAATGGTATATTTTTTTTAAATTATAGATTTAGATTGAAATAAGATTTGTCTATTATAATTGCTAACTTCAAAACCCACTTAATATGTTAAGGTTTGTTAATTGTATTTGGTTTATTCTAAAAAAAACCATATGAACATACCAATAGGGTCTTTATTTTAAAAAATAGTTTTTATATTTGCAGTCCTAATTATCTTATTACGATAATAAGGCTTTAAAATTGAATGTAAGGGTAATTTGGCAACCCTAGCAACGTAGCTTAATTGGCGCTGGCACCGCTTTGACAGGTAGCAATTACAAGTTCTGCTTTTGAGAGCATTTGGTTTGAATTATATATTTACTGCAGTGGAAACTTACAGTTGCTATTTCACTTTTTATTAGCTTTCTTTAAGAATTTTCTTAATTATATGTACTACTAAATAAATATATCAATAAGTATATAAAATAACGGAATGGTAAATTCTTTAATATCGTAACACATTTAGTACTGCAAATATTATGAATTTGCTACAGCGGTTCAAATCAAAGTACCTAATTGACTTCAATTTCGATATCCTGTCTAGACGGCAATAAAATGTACCGCAAACGACTATTTTATTTCAGAAGAAATAGCTTGATTTTATGGTAGTCTAAACCCTGATATACACCTACGGTTCAATGTGTACATTTTTAACAGAATAGTACGACGGGTCATTTAAAACTTAAGGTGTGTAGCGGGCTTAACGAATATACGTTTTGACAGTCTTCGGTTTGATTTTAACTAAGTAGTAAGCATGAATATTGATCGGAGCTATTGTCCAATTAACTTATTGTAAACTACCTATTTATAGAGCTTATTTAATTTTTTTTTAATTACTAATTTCGTATACCAGGTGTTAAGAGATTTTTAAATCAGATTTAAGCTCGACATAATCAGCTGATCGACCTTGCGGAATTTTTCCAAGTCACGTTGCGTCGCCGGCGACAATTTGTCGACAATATTGTTGTTTATTAATATTGTTTTAACAATCAAAATAATTGCCTTGTTACGTAATACATTGTGCACTTTGATTAAACACGAAGTAATTGTGTACATACGCGTAACGCATTGTAAATGAAACATTATGCAAATACAATTATTATTTAATGGATTTGCAATTGAATGTGATCTAGTTTGAGATATTAGTTCTAAAATACATAGCCTGAATATAATTCTTTGTAATAGCAACATTTTTTCTTTATAAATATGATTATGGTTTAGACAGCCGTACTATAGGAGAAAGTTTATTGCACATTTTCATTTCAAAATAAGTTTTATTATTCCAAATTAAAAAGAAGGAAATAGAAACTAAGATTATTAACGTCTTAATTAGGTACATCTGTGTGAATACAATACGCTATTAACTAAATTGTGTTTACACTCTGAAGGAAATAAAACGTAACTTCTTTCTTTTCTTTGAGCTATGCCAATACAATAGGTTTGTCAAAGAGTTACACATTGTTGTTTTACAGCATTCTACACTTAGGAAGGTTCTCTTTTATATCCCTCAGTCGTTTAAATCTGATTTCGAAGGAATATCGTCACTGGATAAACGATTGATAATTTATATTCGGACTAAATTTTGCACGTGACTCCGTCTTCGTGGAAAAAAACTTATAAAGTAGCCAATGTGTTCTGCCAGACTATGTTCTACATCTGTGCCATATTTCATCGAGATCCGTTCAGTCTTTCTGGAGATATCTTGTACCAAACACCCATTTATCTAAACTATCGCTTTTATAATATTAAAAAGAAGTAAGGTTTGTTCGTGTTTTATATTGTAATGTATCCGATACATCGTAATATCATCTTTACCAATATTCAATCAACTAACATGGCTTGTAACTTTCTCTTGCAAATTTAAGACGCGATAACAACGGTTCGTCGTTTATTGGACGCTGCTAACTTTGTGCCAATATACCAAAGTGGGCTTCGATGTACGATACGCAATCAAAACAAATCGCACAAGCACAATTGAATTGCGTCCCTATCGTCAGAGAGTTAGGTGCGTCGATATCGATATTCGAGGTCAATCGACCCCGTCTCTAGCGTTTTTTTATCTATAGTTCGGTATCTTAGTAAATCCAATCAGTGTATTACTTTTTATTTTGTGCTTTTTGCGATTGATGCAGTTAGCTGGCGGTTTTTACTTTCTATCTTCAGCTTTATTTGCAAATCTCTCAGGCTTTAAAGAATTTTAGTGCTACTTTCTATACCCCCATTATCTTTTGCCTGACAAAAAGTCTAGACAGTTATCGTTGGTTATTACTGAAAGCGATGTTGAAAAGCTTCTACTTAAACTCTTTTTATTTATAAATAGTTTTTAAATCTGTCTTTCGTGTGAAACATAAAATATGTAATATGTAAGATATTTAGAGTAAATGTAAACGGCCTTAGGAATTCCGTTTGAATGTAGGACTCGCACGGCATTTGCTTCAAGATAATGGTTTAGATCAGAATATTAGCCTCGGCACACGGATATACTTGAGAATGGACTAAATACAATATGAAAGGCTAAGAAGTTTGTTAAATAAAATCCATTTAATGACTTTAAAATGGTCGTTTTCTTAGATTCAATCGATTCATTCACTTATCCTTTCTTGTTAGATATTTGTTTGATAAGGAATCTGTTAATAAAGTTGCATGTTATATAAGGTGTTGATTTACTTAACATTCTTCAATGTAACCTTCATTTAATACTGTATTAAAGCATAATAGTGAATTCTTTAGTAGTCCGTTCACTTGCTAACAATAAACATTAATGACCGTCATAGAAGTCACACAACCCACTTCCAGTGAAATCTCAAAGGCGTCGACGCGAGTTTGATAGAGTTGGATTTCATGCCAGTCATTACGACACGTAAATGCTTTGATTTATTATCACAGTTTTCCCCTACGTTTACATTACTTGTAATGTATTATTAATGCTGATCACTTTGTTATTCTGACCCGAATAGTTTCGTTTTACAATTGATGAGTTTGAAAGTCAAGAAAATTGTAAGTCATAGCATTGTTTACACTATTTGTCCACGTGTACAGTCATCTAATCTTATCTGTGCTAATCCGTTTATTCAAAAAAATAGACCGTTGCCTAGCAACTGGAAGTTATGAAAACAATGTTATCGTTCATACATTTCCACGTCACGTTTTATCGGCGATAGCACTTTCGACTTGCTTTATTAAAATAGCAAAACTAGAAGAGTTAACTTAACTATTAGTACTATATGTACAGCATTAAAGAACTTCCAATAATATTTTTTTTAACACTGTTTTCTATATAACAGAACGACATAAACGATTTACAGACAGTTGAAGTATTCAGTGAAATCAAATAATTTTATGTGTTTGTGTGAATTAGTGACAAAACAGTACACAATAGTGTTCGATAGTGTATACAAGTGTACAAAAAGTGTCGAGAGTGATTCGGGCTAGGATATTTGGTCAAAGTGGCGAAGTCTGAGTCCCGGGTGGTGCTAGTGGGCGAAGGGGAGGAGGGGGATGGGTGCTGCTGCCCTGGCATGAGGATCGGGGACCTGGGTGGTGCGTTGCTGGAAGCTGCCAAACTGACCAGGTTCTGGTTCTGCCAGAAGCCAGGATACGGGTGAGTGTAACTGGTCCTAGCTAATGGAATTCCCATTAATTATCCAACAGGGACTCGGAAAAATATAATGTTCAGTTAACTCATTCATGTGTATGGTATTTACTTCTTAAACTTTTTTATTAATATACATACATAAATGTAATGTTAACTTTTATACTGGATTGAATTACGTATTGTCCTTTGATATCTTATTTCAAAACTTAACCTTCTTAGATCATATTGCTGAGATATTGTCAATTGTAGGTACTCGGTGTCGTTGTTGACCTCCACGTCTTGTAGCATATCCCTTTGCCATTGCCAATGCCTTCTCTTTCTTATCAATTTACTAATAAATATATTAGTATTTTTCACTCTAAACATTGATAATGAATCCAGGTGTATGAAACACTCATAACCTCACAAATATTTCCTTACTTTTACGATGAAAAGAGGATCATTAAATAACGTAGCAACAAGCTAGAAATTTGTCCAAGTGATATTATCATAACCCGAGGCAAATTAAAATACTTGCAACAGCGCGGAAAGGAGGTTCTGTTTATTCGATGTTAACCTAATTTACGTTTCATGTTGAACCCTCTCCTTTTAGGATTTATAACTTTTAAAATTTTGTTTTAAATACAGGTCCTAAAGGTATGTGCAACAAATGAAATTGTCAAATATTTATGATACACTGTCATTCTGATATTTGCCACCGTCGCAAGCGGACGTACCCATATGCTCTGTCATTTACAAATTTTCTTTTCTATTTAGGCTATTTTTCTTGGCAGTAGTAAAATTTTACAAGTAATAAAATTTGTTGGTTAAAAGCCAGTTAGATTTCCAGTGTACACGGAAACTGTTCTTGACCTGATTGACAATGCTTAAAATTTATAGAGGTCGCTACGATTATATTATTTCTTGGATCTTACAAGCCCTTTTTAACAAGATAACCCGAATTCTTGGATCTGTTTACTTCAAGATTCCCGAAGTTAAATTATTTGTAAATTTAGATACTTTATGTAAACTTTTTAATATAAAAACTAAAAGACTTGCTGTATACATTTTTGTAGTTCAAGTGATTATTTTACGATTTTTTTAGCCATACTTGTAGTAAAGTCGACGTCGATTTTGTTAAAATTTTCGTGTATCGATGTTCGAAACGCATAAACCATAAAATGATCTACGTTCACCCACAAATAGTTGATAATGTCGGGCGCCCTGTGGTCGTGCATTAGATAAATTTGAAATGAAGTCTACGACCTCGTTCCGTAGAGGCGGGCAATCTGGCCGCCGCAGTCGTACCCAGTTTAATAATCGAGTGTTTTTTTTTGCACAAAACTGGGTCGCTCCTGCAACCGGCGGGTGCATTCAGCCGGTATTAATGTACTCGGAGCGACAGAATGGGACCCCCCCCCATTTTGTAGCCTTCGACAATGGAGAGGATGTACCGCTCCAATTCAGATATAACTATTCTTGATACTTTGAGGTTTATTTTCTCTTTTATTTCATTTAAATTGTCATTAACAAGCAATTGTTAATTGTCAAGTTCTAATTAGTTCCTTAATTAAATAAATGTCCAAATCTATATTATATGGTATAATCGGAAGGGGGGGCGAGATTGGAAAACTGTTTCAAATATACATATATGCAATGAATCAGTAAAACATCTGTTGCATCCGCGTGAGGGGGGGTTAATATTCAAACGAATTTTTCAAAAAACATAAATGTAATAACAAAATAATTTCTCATTGTAGTAATGTCCTGTTGTCGAAGAAAGTGTTGGATTCAAAGAGTGTGCCGTTTCGTCATATTGCAGTGTTCGCTGTGCTGCATTTCACTGAATCTGGCTCGACGCCAAGACGCGAGCCTCGAAGAATTAATTGGCAGGCTCCGTTGCGGATAAATGTTAGCTACGGATCTTACTGAAGCCTGTTTAAGTAGGTCTGTTCTAAGCTCGAGGGTGGGCGCTTTGTTACAGAAACGGCTAGCGAAAACAACTATGTTAAATGAGTTTTGTTTATATAGTTTGTGTATAAATGAGCTAAAGGGTGTTGTTATTATATTTATAAAGCGTAAAGAATTACTTAAATAAAATGCAAATCATGGAGATAATTCTTTCAGGTATAGATGAAAGAAAGAATATCTTAAGAAACTTAGAAGCAGATACATTAGGTAGTACATATACAATTACATTATAAACATACACAACTAAAAAGAAAGATTTATCAGAAGAAAAACTTGGATTCCCAATAGTTTTCGACTTTCATCAATTCATTAATAAACTTTGTATTATAGTCCCTTAGCTACCAATTTCTCACATTACAATATTACGTCCGGAACTAATTAGTTGTTACAATGATCGGTACGAACAAACAAAAACAGCAGAATATTTTCCGGAGCAATAAAACTGGGCTACGTCGAGAACTATGTAGATGGTTGGAATTGCTCGATTGTTACTATTGATTGCTTTGTTTCGTTTTAAATACGTTTTTGTTGTACTTTTTCTCTATAGATATGTTTCTAGAAGATAAAAAATGTATATGAAATCGTACATAACTTTGTATTGGTTCTACCTTTGTTAATATCTTAAAATGTACTTTTCTGATCAAGTCAAAATCTTTTATTAACCTATTAGCTTTTGCCCGCGCTTCCGTCTGCGTGGAAAATAAAGCTATGTGTTCTTTCAGACTATCTACTACATCTACGCCAAATTTCATCGCGATCCGTTCAGACGTCTATGCTAGAAACTCTAACAAACATCTATACATCCATCCAAACTTTCGCATTTATAATATTAGTAAGATTCAACGGTTATCATATGAAACTTCGTCTAGATGTTTGCATATGAAAATAACGTTTGGAAAATCCATTAGTGACTTTTAAATCTTGAACTCTGAACGTTTCCAACAAGTTGATATTATTGCTGGCAACTCTAAACGAGTTGTGAACGCTTCAAACGTTGCAACTGCTTTCCAACTTGAGTTTGATAATTTCAAGTTGTGCATCTCTGTGTAGCAAATGTTGTGTGTGAGGAAATGGAGTTTTGTAACAAAATGTATCCGGGTTTGTTGGAGTTGGAATATCATTTTGAAAACCAAATAAATGCAGGTATAAATGTAACATTCTTAATTCTCTTATTAGATACAATGTCTTTACGATAGCGATATATTTAAGAAACCAAATTAAAATATTTCCATCGTTATTGAATTCAAACATCTAAGATTATGTGTTTTTTATTTCTTTGCATAGGTTATTAATTTCCTTTCCGTTCTCTTTTTTATCAAAACCACAAGCTGTATGTTGTCGTTATTTTTAATAAGAAAAATGTCACTTTAATGCATTTCATCTTGACTCTTTTTAAATTGCCTTGGTTATTTACGCTATAAAAACTAAGGCTATAATAACTATTAGTGTGTAGTGTAGTGTATTTGTACTATTTTCTTACTCCTACTAATATTATAAATGTGAAAGCGAAGATGGATTAATGGATGTTTCGTTAGTGTTTGTTTTTTTTTTATGTTTGTTAAGGTAGCGCTTGACCACGAAGCGTTACTTTTTTTGTAGCCTAAACTGAACGGATCTCGATGAAATTTGCCATAGATGTAGAGGATAGTCTGGAAGAACACATAGGCTACTCTCTTTTTTTTAATTCCCCGCGGACGGAGTCGCGGGCGAGAGCTAGTATTAAATACAAGTCATTGCTATTCTTATTCGTACAAATAAGTCAAAAATCGAGTCAAGAGTATTAAGTTCGGACTTATTAATATTAAAATTATAATAATAAAGAAATGAAACAGTGAAAATAAATTAGTAAATATTTGCATAAAACAATGCAACGGTGGCTTAGCTCCTCATTATGATGAGCATGGGTCTCATTAAAGCGCACCCCGCGGCTCCATAGGGCACAATTACTAACAAGTACCTGGATGACCGACTTTTGCGGGAATATTATATTTTTTTCCACGTAGCATTCCGTATTGTTTACAGGTCACATGCTTCCTATTGTAATGCTTCTTATGTTTTAATAAGCTTTTGTGAAATGTAAAATTTTAAATAATTAAATTAATTAAAACGACCAGAAGTCTCTGTTGAGGTAGTGCTCTGTGTTACCTCTCACTCTTACGGTTCTCGTTTGCTGAAGTTTCCGTTTATTTTATTATTACCTAATTATTCATTAGTGTTAGTTTGAACTGAGTTACAAGTAGTTAAACTCATGTTTCGTAGTTCGGAAACACATTTCATGAAGTTATCGAACTAAAAATACTAATAAAGGGTTAAAAGTAGCTGGGAAACCGGACATTATTCTATAATTGTTAATGAACCTTAATCAGTGATAAATTGCAACCTTTCTCCCTAGGATATTATAGCACTGGTCATATATTTATGTATGTATTATGTCCATTCACTTTACTTAGGTCTATGTTCAGCTTTCTAAACGTTGTCGTGACTCCCAGGTTGATATTCTAGACGCTAAATAGAAACACACGATCCATCTTCAAGTCCGGCTCAATATAAGTATATAGACTTATGTATATGCTAGGAATTCCATGATTTATGGTTTTACAGGATTTTTTTTTGTTAGTGAGTTCTCTCTTACATTTTAAGGGGTCGTTTTTTAATACTGCGGTCTGTCCTTAAACAAAGTTTTATCTAGAAAGTAATTTAATGCAAGTGAAACTTTTTTTAAGCCAAGAATTTTTGGCACACACTCATAACTTTCTCGTGCCAACACATTATAAACTAAGTTGGTTTCTCTTATGAAAAGTTAAGGACTAGTAAAACCAGATAATGAATGTTTCATTTTTATTTAATGTTTAAAACATGATAACTTAGAAAATTGGAGAAACAGATGATTTTTTTTTTCTTTAGCCTAAGTGCGATTTAAAAGTCATGTGAAAGAACATTTCTCTTACTTTTTAAATTTAATTCAATTAACGAAATAACTGTGTAGGCACAGGAAAACCTAAACATTGGATAAAGTGTTGGGGTTACTCTAAAATTCTGTTTTCATAATAGATCTA